GGTATCGAGGAAAACTTTTTATCAGTTATGAAAGAGCAGACCAAGGGCTATCTTCCCATGCATTTATCTCAATTTCGAAATTTTTGACGAAAATTGACTTTTTTTGAGGAGGGGGGGGGGAGCTTAAAGCAATCTATTGGCAAGTGTATAACATTTCAATCATTTCTATCAACAACAACAAATGAAAATTAAGCATTGAATTTTATTAATAAAGCAGATGTCAATCATAAAAAAAACAAGCGATTATCTTGTATGCAATTGAAATAAACAATAAAAATGACATTCAATAGTTAATATAACCACTTGTAAATATTATTTCTATAAGTTGTACATCTCATGAACCTGAAATAATGTTTTCTATTGGACAAGTTTTTTAAATTCGTTCAATGATTCCAAATGAAACAACCAAAATTTGGATAATTTATCTTCAAGTACTTAAAACGAATGAAACAGAACATTTGACTAATGTTACAAATTATTATCTATCAAAAATAGTTGGTAAAGAAATTTTCTATAATGGGATACAAGCAAGAGTTAACTATGAGCCACTTACCATTACGACATTTGTTACTATTGGAGATTACTATTCATCAATTATCGTAAAAAATTATCATAAAGCTGAATTTTATTACGAAAGATTCTTGAAAGACGAGCTTGAGTCACCCGATGATTAGAGCAACCAGCATTTTATTATGGCAGGATTCCTAATCTATGTTATTTGGCTCATGGTTATATTAATATACAATTAGTATGTATTCGATACGAACAACAACAATATGTTGAATCTGCCAAATATATTCAAAAAGCATACAACACATATTCAAAACTTTCAGAGGGTTTGAGTCAGCAGATTCATATTGCACAAGTTGACAATAATTTTGCTAAAATTAATTGGAAATACACTGGACAATATGATCATGCTGCAAAACACTTATTACAAGCACTTCAAATTGATAGAAACAATGTAGAAATATTCATAAATATTGGTTTAATACAAGCATCCGCTGAATTGTATTCATATGCTTTAAATTTTTTCTCAACAGCACTATTAATAATTGAAGCTCTCAATGAAACAGATTATCTTTCATATGAGCTTATCTATCGTGAAATAGGGCAAAATTTATGTAAAATCGAAATAATCTTGGCAAGCATTATTCCATTACTTGCAAGTAGAGGTGTAAGCCGCCGGTCTAAGCCGCCGCCACCGCCGATTTTTTTGAAAAGTGAGCCGCCGCCGCCACGGAATCGTAGATAATTTTAAGAATTTTTTAGGAGCCGCCGCTATGAAAAAGTAAGTTCAGCCGGTGCGCCGCCGTCACGAACGAAAACTTTTGATAATAGTATAAGGCGCCGCCGCCGTTGACATCGATACATATGCAAAGACGTTTTTTTTATTTTTTTGGTTGTCAAAGCCGCCGCCGGTGCAGAAAAGCATAAAGTCTAGCAGCAGCCGCCGCTTTGGACGAAAAACTAAAAAATGACGCCACCGCTGCTGGTGTACAAAAACATAAAGTCTAGGAGGCGCCGCCGCTATGCAAAAAAAAATTGACCGTTAAAGGCGCCGCGGCTGTTTGGCCCTTCGGCTTACACCTCTACTTGCAAGCACAAAATATGTATAAAAAATCAGTTTCATCCAGTCATGAATTGCGACAACAAATCAGTGACGATATAAAACAAATCGTCAAAACCGAGGATAATGTTCATAAAGATTTATGAATATTTAAATATTATCGATTATATTTCACACAAATATATGTTTAACGAACAATTAAGGACAAATATTTGATATACTACTCTTCTATACACAGTTGAAGATCGGTATTACTGACTTCATTGTTTTATGATACTATTTTTTCTTCTTCTTTTACACAAGAAGTTATTCCTATAATGACTTGAACTTATACGCATTATATTTGTGCAAGTTGTAATAAACAAATTAGCAGAAAATTGTGTTTCCGAAATGTTGAAATAAAGTGGGTAACTTTGTATAATAAGAATGTTCAACTTACTTCCTTGGGGACAGTAGACGTATATATACGTCCACTTTCGAACCAATTCGTAGTTGACTTGAGACTGTGGATGCCGATATTCGTTTTAACAACACTCACACCCTCACTTTGATCAATACAATCAGAGTAAAGATTCAATAAAAATAACAATTTTCGTCTTGATTCATTTATTTATTCGACAAATTTTGAAAGTACACCAATAGCTTCGACTTTTTCTCAAAAGAGATATTGTTCTGACAAAGAATTTAGTATATCAAGAAACTTAAATCAATGATCATCGAATGAACACAGTAAATATTGATTTGTCTAAAGTAGATTACCAAAAACACAGTGTATGATGATAAAAATAAAATTGTACAAAAAAATAATAGAAAATTAGATATTTTATTTGGTAACTAATGTTTTCAGGAAAGCTTTTTAAATTATTTCTTCTTAATTGTACCGTTTTCGATGATTATTGTGTTTAGAGAAGAAAAAAGATAATGTGTTCATGGTCGCACGTGTTTATATATTCGTTCTCGGTCAATATCATCGTTATTCAGTTATCTTAAACATGCAACGAACACAACGACAAGAGAACAAAACGGTTCAAACTTCAAATAGTCATACAAAACGAAAATTAGAAAATCAAAGTAATATTTTATTTTAAAATCTGCTAAATCTTATGTCTCCATTTCGTTTTATTAGTAACAACAATCAATTCAAATAAGTCAGACATATCTTTTTTCATCATAGAAATAATTATCATTTACTTTTATTTAGATATCTTCTTGAAGATTTAGCTAATGAAATTCTTTATGAAATATTTGAATATCTTGATGTCTATGATATTTATAAAGGATTTTACAATCTTAATAAACGATTTCAAAATTTAACTATTAATTCAAATGTATTAACTAAAATCAATATTTCAATAATATCAAAATCAAATTTCGAAGATTATCATCGAAATATTCTTATACCAAATCAAAATCGATTTAATTTTCTTCGTTTATCAAATCCATTTGCTGCCGAAATTATTTTCTCACGTACACGTTTAGTTTTGAATTTCATCCGTCTTGAAAAATTAATTCTTGAAAATATACAAATCAAACATCTTTATAAAATCTGTGATAATTTAATACATCTACGTAAACTTCATTCATTGACTATATCGATTAGTGATTATATTGAATCATTATCTCTGATTTTTGCTCGTATATTTTTGTTATCGAAATTAAAATATTGTAAAATTGAATATCAAACAAAAAATTATGAAGAGCCATTGCTTACCATTTTTACTGAATATGATTATAGTCCAATACAATCGTTGATAATCAATGGTCGTTTTCCATTTGATTCATTTAGTCATTTATTATGTTGTCTTCCTAAACTTCAATATATATCAATTGATTGTCTTATTCAAGATCATTATTATACAGAAGAAGAAGAAGAAAAATTATCTTTTATTCAATTAAAATATTTGAAATATGTTTCTCTTCGAATCGATTATGTTGAGTTTAAAAAATTTGAAAAAATTATCACAGAAGTTTTTCATTATGTTCAAATTTTACGTCTTATGACATTTTATGATGAAGTATATTTAGATGCTAAACGATGGCAAAAATTAATAGTAACATATATGCCATATTTACGTATCTTTGATTTAAATCATGAAGGTTCTGTAAAAACAAATAGTTTAACATATCATGATATTATTAATGGATTTAATTCTTCGTTTTGGATTGAAAATAAATGGTTTTTTACACATCAACATATTCGGAAAGATGAACCTGATAATGGAATTCTTTATTCAACTACTCCATATCGGTAAAGAAAAATTATTATCTGTCGACGAAAAAAAAATCACATATCCGTGACTAATGTCCGCGCCAGAATAAAAGAGGGGTGAGTGTAAGCTCAATAACTCGACAACCGCAATACCTAGCTACCTGCGGTTTTCACCAATCGAAAGAGGANCTGTGTGTTCACAAAGTGGTGGTCAGTAGTAGTTCTATAGTACTGAATACTGCAATCTGATTGGTTAGCAACATAGGCAGGCTTTTTCCAGGCGAAGGATCAACTGTTTTTTAAAAAAAAGTAGACGTTGACCTTTTCCTGGATGTGAGGAAGATTCCTGGAAAGTTTGGCTGCATTTGCTCGTATGGTGTGGAAATGGATAACGAACAAACAGACAAACATTCTTCTTTATATATATAGATAGATGAAATAAAGATAACGCAATCGGTATGTTTTTAACAAAACTGAAGGGAAAAAAGAAATTTCGATTACGACAACTGAGCAATCGCATATTCTACCACTGTGTAATGTGCATGATTCATAATGTCAATAGAGAAAAAAAACCAGAAAGAAAGAACAAGATTAACTGCAGCAGCCTTATGCAATAAAATTTCACTTTTTAAGTTTTATGTTGCTATCACACGTTTCGTTTTTTATGGTTTATTTTTTTGCTTATTCTTCATTTTGACGGCGTCAATAAGATTTTATTCATTGGTTTTTCTTCCTCGAACGACATTTATTACCATGCATTAATGCAATATTAAAAGAAATCTAATCTAATTTCATATGTCAACGTTTTTATTCACAACATAGCCGATAATAAAATGTGTTTTTATTTCAGAGAGTTTTTGATTTTGACAAAAAATATTATGGAAGACGACGAGGAACAATTCTATCAAGGTAAATTTATCATTTTAATTTGAGTTGAACAATATTCTACATTTATCTTTGACAGATATTGACGACGAAGGTGCTGATAATGATTTTGATTCCGATGGCTCCGATTTCTTCGCCATCGACGAACTAGATCAAAAACAATTCTTCAACACTGATTCATTGAGTAAAAACGCTACATATGTCGGTATGTCAAACATTTTCAATTAGAATCGAAAAAAAAATAAAATGATGCGTTAATGATTGGATACTTCGTACAATACTTGGTATTTTTTGCACTTTTTTACTTGAAGATCTTAAGTACCAACTACATTTGTGTAGTACATATCCACTTGAATATGATTGCTAAATGCAAGCTTTACTTCCCAATCTTTGTCATCTATGTAGACGTTATATAATAAAATATTTCTGTGCAATTGACTTTCTATTCGAGGCATGCTACTTCTCCGTAGCATTGCTTTGTCTGGATATCGTTTCAAACTATCTTATATATAGTCTTGGTGTAATATTTCACAAAAAAGTAGAGAAAATTACAATGAAGATATAGAAATTTTACGGGATGTCATTTTTCAAATCACCATTGATAGGTATGAAATAAAGAACTTCGGTTGTTTCTATTGACCAATCAAATTCTGGCATACTTGTGTAGCTTCGAAAATCTTCTTTCAAGTGGCGAAAATCGAAGTTCTCTACTTCATTTTTATCAACAGTCGTTTGAAAAATGGCAATTTGCCTTTTATTTTGAAAATGACAGCAGTCAATATATTACACATGTAGTTCTTCTTGAATATAAATCTTTATTACACCAATAGTTATTACCAGTATTTAAACTGTACATAGTACATCTTTTAAGTAACAAATACTTAGTTCAAGTTTGTGAATGCTGAACTCTTGAGCATTTTCTGAATCCAAATACCAATAAAAAGATGCAAGCAATCATTAATTTCGAATACCAAAACTCACAGAATGCGTCAAGCAGTAGCAATGCAGTGTTTGGGATCGTCTGTACTGAACTATGCCTTGAGTCTAAATGTTTGCCTTCTTTCGCATCCTCACAACCACATTCTTTGGATTTCATGAATTTCTTGTATTCCATTGGTTGTTAAATCTCTTAGACGCTATTGAAATATGCATACACAGAATAGAATAAACATCGTGCAGAACTTCTGATCTGATTCAATAAACATTTATTTTTTCCTTAAAATCTAGTATTGACACAAGAAGAAATCAGCCAATATATGTTTGAATGTGTCAAAAAAGTCAAGGAAACAATGAAATTACCTTCGACAACAGTGCGTCTTTTATTGCAACATGTACATTGGGATGAACAAAGACTCATGGAACAATTTTTTGATCCAGATTATCAAGAAAAGCTTTTTCGTGACGCAAATATTGTTAATCCATTCAAGCAGTCACCTAATGTTGATGGTGTCGATGGTTTAAAAAGACAATTATCATCATCTCCTCTTCACTCTTTTCGTCGTCAAGGTTTGACACCATCAACACCAACAACACCATCAACACCATCACCCATGATAATGACACCACCGTCATCACCATTAATAAATTTAAATCCAGTGAAACCAATTATCGAACAGACCTGTGCCATATGTTGCTTGACGAAATCATCCAATGAAATGGGTGGTCTTAAATGTGGCCATGTCTTCTGTATTGAATGTTGGCAGCATTATCTAATTAGCAAAATTATGGATGAAGGTATCAGTGAAACAATTTCATGTCCGGCGAAATGCAATATTCGAGTCGACGACATAACTGTTCTCCATATCATTGAATCGCAGGATGTACGTAGCAAATATCAGTACTTAATTACAAATTCGTTTGTACAATGTAATCGAAAAATGCGCTGGTGTCCAGGAAAGAACTGTAAAAATGCAATCAAAGCATTATTATCTTCGGGTGTGACTACGGTATATGAAAATAGAAAAGACTTTCTTATTGGCATTGTTTATTGTACACGTTTAGGTTACATGCACTTGTCACACATCTTTCTGTTTTCAATGCGGTGACGATGGACATGAGCCAATAAAATGTGAATGGTTAAGAAGATGGCATAAAAAGTGTCAAGATGACGGTGAAACAAGTAATTGGATTGCTGCTAATACGAAAGAGTGTCCAAAGTGTCACGTAACAATCGGTAACCATGTTGCACTTCTACAGTATTTGTTTTTCATATATTAGAATATCTCTTATATAATTTCAGAGAAGAATGGCGGTTGCAATCATATGACTTGTAGAAGTTTATCATGTAGATATGAGTTTTGCTGGATATGTGTGGGTGAGTGGGCACCACATGGATCATCTTATTACAGTTGTAATCGTTTCAACGAAACCGATATCCAGGAGGCACGCAATGTCCAAGAACGTTCCAGAGCGATGCTACAACGTTACTTGCACTTCTTCAATCATTATCAAGGTCATAAACAATCGTTACAATTCGAAGACAAATTCTTGGATAAAGTACGACAAAAAATGGAAATCATGCAGAAAGAAGTAGATTGGATTCAGGTACAATTTCTTCTACCTGTTTGCGAAGCTCTTCGATTGTGTCGACAAACATTAATGTATACTTATCCGTTTGCATATTATCTCAAGCCAAGTAATGATTCGTAAGAATGAATTTCTGTTTACTCTCAACTACAAAGCTGTATTTAAACGAGATTCTTTTTTAATTTTGATTAGTGCTATTTTTGAAATGAATCAAGCCGATTTACAACATGCTACTGAAGAATTGAGTGATTTGTTGGAAAGAGATGTAACGCTCACAAAAGATAATTTGATTCAGATGAGACAAAAGATTCAAGATAAATATCGCTATTGTGAAGATCGTCGTAAAGTTCTTGTGGAGTCTGTTATAGATGGTTACAATAAAGATTCTTGGTAAATATGCAGTTGTAGCATCTTGTTTTTTTATTATCATTATTAAATATATTTGTAGGAAATTCAATGACAGTTTATGACCATTGAACATATAATCATTTAATACTGTTACAATTTGTTATCCAGCACTTTTATTTGCTTTTCCTGTCCAATTCATTCTTTCTCTGTGATTCTTATTTTCTCCGCTTCTGTCATTTGACTTTACCAGAAAGTGTTGGGAAAATAAGCATAATAGGAATTATTTTGTTGATTTCTTGCATAACATCTCTTCATGCTATTGCAATTCATTTCGTGAATTGCATTATATTCGTTTTTCCTTTTCCAATTTGTTAGTTTTCTTAAATTTCATCATTGAATAAAGATTCATGTTACTCAATCGCTCTGATTGGGCTATTATCAAGAAAGAATAATATGGTATCATTGAGTTTATCATTCTCATTTATTTATTTTTACAACATAGAAATGATTATCATTGCCGTGTTTCTGACCATCTCTATGCTAAATACTATAGTGATGATGCAATTCTCCCCAAGATTTATCCATGTGGAATATTGACTAACAAATACTATCTAAAACAAACAGGGTAGACAGTATTCTATTGACATATGTGTACTGTGAGAGGGTGTGGGTGTGGATGGGTGTGGGTGTAAATTATGAGAAGATCCACACCCCACACCCACACCCAAGAATTTTTATTATAATTTCTTGATTACCTAAGAAGTAATGTTAAATGATAAATATCAAATTTAATTGATTGTATAGCTCATGCTGTTGGATCACCAAATTGTTTAGTTTCATCAAAAAGTTCTTCAATTTTTAGCAAATTTATTCGATTAGCTACTGCTGTATTGATTGCTGCCATTGATCGAATAACTTATAAGAAATTTATAAATGAAATGAATACGAAAAAAGTAAAGAACTTACGACATCGGCACTCATTTTTACTAAATATGCCTTTCGTACATGTTCATTCTAAAAATAATATTATTAATTGTTTTTCGAAACACAAAAATTATCAAATCGGTTTAGAAAAAGAGCACTTCATTTCCCTGTTTAAATTTCTATAATACTTGAGTGGACTCTATTCAGAAAAACTAACGTTTCTAAGAATATTCTTTCGTTCAATTCAATATTCTAGAAGATTTCTGAAGTTCATGATGCACTAAGTCAGCGTATTTCGAAATATAAATTCGTCTTAGAATGATGACGATGCACTGACAGATCATTATGTTTATTTTGATTGTTACATCTGATTCTACAATCATTGATCGCTGTTGAACTCGTATATTAGTTATGTAGAGAGAATCTCTACACTAGAATACATCTAACATGATTCGAACCCGTAGTAGTGCACTGTAGTCGAGATATCGAATCGTTAGGGAATTTTCATTGTCGAGCTGACGAGAGAACTTCCTGAAGTGTCCGATCATTTTCGAGCTCATCCTTTGAGCATCAGTAGAAAATCATGAAACTAGAATTAGTCTGGATCGATTCCGTTGTCTGGTATGTTTGAAGCTGAGTTATGACTGTTTTATCGATCTCTTGGCCTCCAGTATGAGCATTTTGTTCTGAAACTTAGCTCATACATAGGTCTAGTGGCGATGAAAACTCAAAAACAATGATTTTTTTGGAAATTCAATATCTCAAAATAGAAACATTCACTTGATCTGAAATCTTCAGGATATTTTCATCGCCAATAGGCCTACTTAGGAGCCAAGTTTCAGATCAAAATACACAAGTCCTAGAGCGAAAATCTAGTAAAATGATCATAAATCAGCTTCCAAGGCTCAGACAATCAAAACAACTTAGAGTTACTCTAGCCTTATGATTTTTTACTGATGCTTCAAAGATAAGTTCAAAATTGATCGAGCGCTTCGAAAGGTTTCCTCCTGAGACTCAGCAAAAAACTCATATTTTTCGAATTCTGATGTGAAAATTTCTACAAATGGAAGTCTTATTTAAATTCACTCGTGCAACAATTTTCAACATTTTTGGGACATACATTTTCCAAGATACCAAACTTTCAATATATTCATATATATCTATAAGTATCACATTAAATGTGAATATTTTAAAAACTTATTATCTCGAAAATATAACGCCCAATGATGATAAAACTTATCATACAAGGTAATCTAAATGAGACCTACATCTGTTGAACGTTTCATATCGAAATTCGAAAATATGTTTTTTTCACAAAGTCGCAGCTCTATCAGGAATTCGTACTAATAATTCGATATCTCGAATACACTGTACTATGGTTTCGAATCGTATTAGAGTTATTTTGGGGTAGAGGTAGACATGTAATCTGACAGAGGTGCCACTGAAAAAGATAAGAGTTTTTCGAAGAGAAAAATCTTCATCTTTTTCAGCGACGCCTCTATCTTGGTACATGACTAAATAGAAATGCAACAAATTTGAAACTTTGGAACTTCTTGTGATTTGATTTTAGATTTGAATTTGATTCTCAATGATCCAAATTGTTTACATTTGGTCAGATAAGCTGCCACATTTTCGGAAGAAAACTTCCTACTAACAGAACAATTGTCTTCTATTCATTCGTAGGAATAAAAATTTTCATGTCAGTTTGGTTCCATTCAAAAGAGCTATTATCAAATCCAAATAACAAAGCTTTGGTTCTGAATCCCAAATCTATTTCAGATTGATTGCAACTTCATGTAAAGATGCTCTCTATATGCTTAAAACCGAAGTAAATTCGAGAAGTAATCTGGCCAATCAAAGTTCGTAATAATACTAACTTTGACTAAACAAAAAGATTTTTTTAATGCCTAATAAGAGATATTGAACCTATATTCATAAAATTTCAAGCATAAAATTCTGACAAAAGCTTTTCTATAGTTTCTTTACTTTTCGTTTGCCAGTATCTACTTGTTTTAAATAATTCATTGCTTGAGTAATCGTTCATGTTAGAAATTAATTTTATTTGAAAACGTTTAAATGATTGCACGAAAAATATTTATACACAATGAAGAAAAAAAAACAAATATTTGTATTTTCTTTGAAATACGGATAGAATGTTTTACTGAGTAGTCGCATGAATTTGTTTTCCAAATGATAAAAATATCTGTTCAAGCGTTGTTTGTGATATCGTATATGTTTCAATATTTAATCTTTGTTTATTTTCTTCAAGTAATTGGAACAATTCAGCTGGTGTACTACGTTCAATTTGAAACAAACCAGTTGAATATGTTGTTTCTTTAACTTCAACATGATATTGTTTTTGAGATAATAAAAATGCTTGAACATTTTTTATGGCTGTTGCATTTATATCATCAATATTTGAACGAATTTTTATTTCAACTGTATAACCATGACCAAACTTAGATTTTAAATGTTGTATCGTACCTAAACAAGCTAATTGACCATTAACCATAATGCCAAGACGATTACAAACACGTTCACTAGAATTGAGAAAAACAAAAAGAACATTCTGATTCATTTGATGAAATTTTCTTACCATTCATCCATTGAATGACTAGTTAAAATAATTGTTAATTTTGCTTTAACAGCATTTAAAAATATTTCTTGCATTTGTTGGCGAGCATTTGGATCAACTCCAGTTGTTGGTTCGTCAAGAATAACAACTAATGGAGGTCCTTAATAGAAAAAAAAGTGTCAAAATTTTTATCTTCTTATCCATTTTTTTTTTGAAATATATTCTATTTTACCGATTAGTGCTATAGCCGTATGTAATCGACGTTTTGTACCACCACTTAATTCATGTATATAATTATGTAAAAATGGATCAAGTATAAATAATGAACTCATTTTTTCAACAATAGATTTTATACGCGAAGATTCAATACCACGTATACGTGCTAATAAATAAAGACTATCTTGAACAGTTAAAAATTCCATACTACAATTATCTTGTGGACAATAACCTAAATGACGTGTTGATCTTATTCGAAGATGAACATTTTGTCCATCGATATAAGCTGAACCTTGTGTGGACATTAAATCACCAACTAAAACACGAAATGTTGTTGTTTTTCCAGCACCCTATTTAAATCAATTATAAATATTTGTCTGTTTGAAAGTTCTTTAATATACTTACATTATAACCAAGTAAACCAAATGCTTCACCACGTTGAGCAGCAAATGTTAAATGATTAACAGCTAAAACTTTACGTATTGGATAATATTTAACAAGATTCTTAACTATTAAATGATCAACATGTTCTTTATCTTCAGATGGATTTTTATGATATCTTAATACTCGATGACGTTCAGCTAAAACATCATCATCAAGTTTATTTTCATCAAAATTTGATTTATATAAACATGACAATGAAAATTGTAATAAACCACTGTCAATTATTATTAATACAAATAATAATAATAACACATGTAAAACAAGTATTACACCATTCCATCCAATTGTATCATCACCGATTGCTTTAAAAAGTGACAGTCCAAAGTCACTTAAACCGAATGGATCTGTAATAAATCTGCAAAACTTACTTTTTCGTGCTAAAATATATGTTATTATAACATGTGCATTTATGCTTGGTGATATTATATTAAATAGCCAATATAAAAGTTTTTGAACAAAGGTACTTTGAACAATCATTGTTACTACTGGTATAATAATACTGATAAAATGTAAAATTATTAATAGAAAACATATTGTTATACCACCCTAAAAATGAAAGTTATAAATAGAATATGAAATATAATACATTATTATTAGAATCTATTTAACGTTTCATTATGAACGAAGAAGTCTCATTGCTCTTGTGATCAATTTTATTTCGTTAGGTATGCCCTTTTAAAATTAAAGAAATCCTTAAAAAATTCTTATCTATGCAGATCAATGATTCTGATGTCTCAAATCCATTAAGTTCTGATAGGTAAAATCGAAAGAATGGTCGGAAGTTGAAGGTAAAGTGTGTGAATGTAAGTATCGAGAACAGATGACATCATTTCGCATATCCGCACCCACACAACACAACCATGTACACTATCTGAGAAAAGAAATTCAATGAGTTGTGAACTTTAAAAAGAATTAGTTAAGAAAGTAATGCTCTTATATTCTACGAGACGAATTATTCAATTAGAAATTTAAAAATAAAATACATACAAGAATATCACTTTTGAAAAATTTTGTTAATAAATAAGCAAATGGCAATGTTGGTAATGCAATTAAAATTGTTAATGGATAATATTGTACTCGTAAATTCCATGGACTAGCAAATTCAAGTGGAATCATAGTTTCTAATTGAGATTTCTTGTTTGGTAAGCCATTAACAGCAATATTAGTTATGCAATAAACAGCAAGTAAATAACAGAACCATATAACAGAAATAATTAAATCAAATAGATAACTAAACAGCCAATATGATGCTGGACTAGAACAAAAAATACGTTAATTATATGTCTTCCATAATGAATTAGTGAAAAGACGCTAACCCATTTTATCTATGTTGCATTTTCTCATGTCGAATAAGACATTCATTAAAAAGTCGAAGTACATAATTTTAGTCTAAAGGAATCTGCTCTTTTCCAGATATTGAATATTCAAAATCAATCATATGCCTCAAGAAGAAAGAGTTGAATGTCAAGTGTTGTCAACATTTCGATACTTCAAGAACAGTAAATCCTGTTTGCACTGGAATTTTCAATCTACGAAATCAACATTTGGGTGAAATTTCACGTTGAAATTTCGTAATTCGATTTTTTCATAAATACGTTGCCAGAGATTAAAAAAATTCACTTAACTTTCTACTTGTGTCTTTGCGACCTAATTATATACAAAGTATTAGTTCGGTTGATGAGTCTCATTTGAGAAAATTTCTTTGTTCAAACGAACTATTATTTCTTGAAGAGTTCAATCTCAAAAAATTGTAATTGTGCTTCTAACCAGAAAATTTGCTCAAATTTTAGAAGTGTCATAGAATATTCAATGTCTAAATAATGTTGATATTAGTCGAAAATTTTTAATTTTCTGTATCGCAATAAACGAGAGTATTGATCGATCGTTACGATAATACTAATAATCTTTTGCTGAATAGTAAGAAAAAACTAATACGAAGCTTGAATCCCTGATGAACAGTTATATATCTTCATGATTAAAAAAAAAAGAAACTTACTGTAGACCACTAATAGTCAATAATGATAAGAAACTATCTTTTCGTTCACTGATTAAAAAGACAGTTGTATAAAAGAATAAAATATAAAATAGAAATCTACAAAAAAGTAAAAGAGAATTAAAATAAAGTTTTGGTTGATCACTTAATATTACATACACATCAAGTATGAGTGATGTTGGTAATAATTTAAGAAAACATGATGCTATACTTAATAAATTCATTAATGCACCAACAGATGGTTTTGCTGTAAAATTACCTATATTTTCATAAATAAGTGTTGTTTGAATAGATGCACTTGTATCATTTAATATATATTTATAGAATATATTTGATGTAAGTGAAAAAACTTCATGACCAGATATTAAATTTGATGATAATGCTTGAATTTTATATTTATTTCCATTTGGTTTAGGAATAATAAAGCCAAGATAAATATCTGTATATGTATACGGATGATCCATTCGTTTTTCTAGAATAATAAGAAATTAAATATCAATTTGTTTTATTATATAAAAAAAAAATACTTACGCCAAATGTTTTGATTCATTTCGGATATATTTGCTGATCCTTGTTCAAGTATGGAACCACTAACAGATGCACGAATATATTTTTCCATATTTGGATCTGCATGATATACAAATGTTTGTGGATTAAGAGACTTTAAATTCATTTTAAATATGCCATTTTCATTCTCACTACGAGATATTAAATTTGATAGAAGATTGTATAAAATAGGTAATAATAAAACAATAAGTGTTAATGTCCAACGACGATAACGTACAATTGAAGTTTTTATTATCAAACCATAGAATTGACTTAAATGATAATGAATACCAGTAAGAACATATCGATTATTAAATATATCATGACATTGTTTATCTAGGAAAGAGATGAATAAATTTATTAATCAGAAAATTTTTTACATAATGAATTTGCTGATTTATCAAAAGGAAAGAATATTTAAGATTATATTCTGTACTCTAAAATTGAAAAGATTTTGCATATCCTCGCAATGAAAATCAT